CAAATTATGCATCCAATTTCCTGTCTTTTTGTCATATTTTGGAGCCCCTATAGCACCAGGACAGTGGAAACACCCACAGCATGACTCCATTTTGGAAAGTAAACACACAAATGTATTTTTAAGGGTCATGAGTCTTTTGACTTTTTTGCCACAAGTGTTTGGAAAGAAAATAAAAATAAACCTACAAAATGTTGGCAATTTAATTATATATTTCCCACACACACCATGGGCATACTTATATTTACACCCCCAAAACACATTCTTCTACCCCTCCTGAGTATGGGAATACCACATGTGTGAGACTTTTTCATTGTCTGGGCTGATTATATACCAGACATTGTATCTTGTGCATCATACAAAGCAACCAATTGTGTCAAAACCAATGTATTGTAATGCTCACTTCTATACAAGTGGTCAATGAATATGATGCAGTGTAGCGTCACCTATGGCAGTCTTAGTTCCTCTAAGCCTAGTCTACTGGCATGTGGCTGCCCCAGGAATGTCATGTTCACTGGCCTGGTGTCTCACAGGAATGTAGTCAGTGGGATGTGCAGATGGGTCAGTTCAGGCCGCAGGCAGAGACTTGGGCAGCAAACAGGAAAAGGTTTGGTCCAGGCAGCAGGCAGAGACATGGTCAATAAACAGGCCAGGGTTAGTACAGGCAGCAGGCAATGGCAACACTGCACTGGTGTGGCAGTGATCAGGGACACTGTAACTTGTGTAGCAATGATCATGGCCATTGGTACTGGTGTAGCGGTGATCAGGGACAATATGACTAGTGTGGCAGTGATCAGGGACACTGTAACTTCTGTTACAGTGTCCCTTACAGACCCAGATACTGGGACTGGTGTAGCTGTGATCAGGAATATTATGACAGGTGTGGCAGTGATCAGGAACACTGTATCTGGGGTGGCGGTGATTAAGGAGTTGGGATAACATGTGATTAGGGACACTGAGAGTGGGTAGCAGTGATTAGGGACACTGACATGTACGGGGGTGATTAGGAACACTGTGAGTGGGCTGAGTTGATTAGGGACACTGTGACCAATTACAGAGATCACACAGTAGTAAGCAAGGCATCATGAATGACAGCCTTGCTTACTACTGTGACTGTGACCAATAACAGCGATCACATGGTGCCAGGTCCACTCACAGCAGCCTGGTACCATGATCGGGCATCGGCTGTGTTCATTGTCCACAGTCTATTTGCCTTTATTAAATCAACCCCAATGAGTAAGGTCAAGGTTAAAGCTGCTCCCACTGTTGACCCACAATTCATCACAATGTGGCAGGCACTTTGTCCAATTACTGTTCTGTGGGTACGCAAAACTAACCCCCACAGGATAAAAATTATCTAAGGCCATGCATTAACCACCAATGTAAGAAGCATACTTCCTTTTGACCACTGATGTATGAAGCACACTTCCCACTGACCACCGATGAAAGGAGCATACTTCCCACTGACCACCAATTAAAGGAGCATACTTCCCACTGACCATCAATGAAAGGAGCATACTTCCCAATGTCCACCAATGAAAGGAACATACTTCCCACTGACCACCAATTAAAGGAGCATACTTCCCACTGACCATCAATGAAAGGAGCATACTTCCCAATGTCCACCAATGAAAGGAGCATACTTCCCAATGTCCACCAATGAAAGGAACATACTTCCCAATGTCCACCAATGAAAGGAGCATACTTCCCAATGTCCACCAATGAAAGGAGCATACTTCCCACTGACCACCAAGTAAAGGAGCATACTTCCCACTGACCATCAATGAAAGGAGCATACTTCCCACTGACCATCAATGAAAGGAGCATACTTCCCAATGTCCACCAATGAAAGGAACATACTTCCCACTGACCACCAATGAAAGGAGCAAACTTCCCAATGTCTACCAATATAAGAAGCATTCTTCCCACTGTCCACCAATGTAAGAAGCCCTCTTCCAACTAATTACAAGGCTAATGTACTGTGAGCTGTAGATATCATAATTATTGGCAGGGGTTCCTTGAAACCTGAAAGACATTTCAAGGATTCCTCCATGTTAAAAAGGTTGAGAAGGCTGCTCTAAATATAAAATGTATATTCTCTAGAAACCTTGGTGAAAACAAGACAAAGCATACAATTACAAATACAAAGTGAACCACGTTGACCTAATTTTTTTTTCTAATTTTTCCACAAAGACCGTCTAGAGTCCTGCATTTTTTGTCTCTTGATCTATAAGTATATCTTTTAACAGTCCGTCCTGGCAACAACCAGTCCAAATAAAAATAGTCTAGCCAAGTGTTACACTACTCAAGTTTTTCCTTTATTTCAAGTTTCTTTTATATTTCTTCACATCACTTGCTGTTGACGTAGAATAATTATACGGATCTGTTTCAATCACCAGGATCGCCTCAATGCTACAAGACATGACAGTTGTCATAAATCTGTGAATATATATTTATTTTTTGACTATCAGCTTCTAAAGCAGCCCATGACAATTCCCCGTTGTGAAATATCACATTATTATTCTGCAATGTCATTTTCCTCAGGCACTAGTAAAATAACAATGACACACTTCACTAAATGCTCCGGTGATCGATTATGGGTATCTTGGCCATCCGCTAGGTACTGCACCGTGGCCAGTCTTCACCTTCAACATTCCATTGTAGATCTAAACTTTAAAGCTGAACTCCAGCCTTCACTTCAGTTTTGCACAACTGTACAGATTCCTCTCCTGTACTGAAATGTCCTACTCTGATTTCACTGCACACTGTGAATCACAGTATTCTAATGCTTGTCAATCCTTCCCACCTACTGAGGGTTCAGAACCTTGGAAAGGGACCTGGGGTGGGCAGGAAGGGGCTATGCACTGTGCGTTATAAAAATGTGGGTTTTCACATTCGTTTCAACTTTGGGCTGCTGTTTTCCAGCAACTACTGTACATGCAGTGCCTGTACATCAATGTTCTAGGAGAGCTTCTTGATACTGACATTAATGGAACATGCCTGAGCAAGATGCATCAGCACAGCCACTTGTCTCCATCAGGAGCAGGTGTGAGAGGGTGACAATGCAGGGCAGCAATTTGAGAAAAAGATAATGTGTTGCCAGTGCCACCCCATAATAGGATGTGCATGAACAGGGGCGGACTGACAATTTGGAAACTCGGGCACTGCCCGTGGGCCCGGGGTCAGTAGGGGGCCCCATGAGATGCCCCTGGTACCTTTATCATAGGCTTTTTTGAGTTTGGGCAAAGACACAGGGGCCCCATGATCCCCTATTGCCCGGGGGCCCCATGAGTTGTCAGTCCACCCCTGTGCATGAACAAGAACCTTCATGACATGAACACCAGGTAACATTTTAATTAACATAACAGATTAAAAAAAAAATTTTCAGTACAAAATGCTGACTTCTATACAAAATTTGGTGTTCACACAATAGAAAATTTAAGATATTGAAACTTTTGGTACTCCAGAAGCTAATCCAAAGCAATGCTTGGTCTCCTGCAGTAACCTGCAATGCCTTAGAGGTAGTTTACTAAGTGCAAAAAGATATTTATTGTCCAATATTGTCCAAATGCAAGCTGGGGATTAGAGATTAGGGATTATTGTCCTTCACCAAGCTGTGGTGCTTAACCACATGCCTCCCAGCCACTGTAGAAATACGGTGGCAGGGCGGCACGGCTGGGCAAAACCACGTTTTAAAACGTGTGTTTGCAAAACAGGTAGGGGGTGCGCGCGAGGTGCGCTACGGCCCTACCTGTCCCGCCGATCACGGCCACGGATGTCAGTCACCAGGTCACAGCTGGTCGTTACCGGCTGTGTCCCGCCGATTAGCAGCAATCACTGACAGAGAGCAGGGCTGCATTAGCTCTGCTTTCTATTGGTTCTCTGTCAGCTCCTGACATGCTGAGTTGGAGAGAAGAGTTTATCTCTCCCGATCAGCGTGTCCCCGTGCAGTACACACCCCCCGCCCCCTAGTAAAACACTCCCCTCACACAGTTAACCCTTTCAGTAAATAAAAAAAGTTAACCCCTTCCTCCCCAGTGCCCTTAGTACAGTGTCAGTGTTTTTTTTTTTTGCACTGATTACTGTATTGGTGTCACTGGGGATGTCAGTGACCCCAAGTCAGTTCCCCCCCAGTGTCAGAATGTCCGCCGCAGTCCCGCCATAAGTCACTGATCTCCGCCATTATTAGCATAAAAAAAAATTAAAAATCCCAGTATCTTTCCCGCCATTTGTAAACGCTATAACTTTCATGTAAACCAATTAATTTACATGTATTGGGGGTTTTTTTTTTAGCAAAGACATGTCGCAGAATGTATTTTGGCCGAAATTTATGACTAAATTTGATTTTTAAATTTTTTTTACTGGACATGTTTAATAGCAAAAAGTCCAAAATATTGTTTTTGTTTCTCAAAATTGTCAGCCTTTTTTTTTTTATAGCGCAAAAAATAAAAAACGCACAGGCAATCAAATACCACCGAAAGAAATCTCTATTTGTGTGAAAAAAAGGACATAAAATTAATTTATGTACCGTATTGCATGACCGCGCAATTGTCCGTTAAACTAGTGCAGCGCTGTATAGCAATAAAATGGCGTAAATTGCAGTATCTATACCATAGTTTGTAGACGCTATAACTTTCACACAAAGCAATCGAATATACACTTATTGGGATTTTTTTTACCAAAAACATGTAGCAGAATACATTTTGGCCTAAATTTATAACTAACTTTGAGTTTACTATATATTTTTTATAGCTGAAAGTAAAAAATATTGTTTTTTCTTCAAATTTTTTGGTCCTTTTTTGTTTATAGCGTGAAAAATAAAAAGCACACAGGTGATCAAATACCACCGAAAGAAAGCTCTATTCGTGTGAAAAAAAGGACGTAAATTTCGTTTGGGTGCAGCATTGCATGACCGCGCAATTATCAGTTGAATTAGTGCAGCCCCTACCAGTGAACATCAATGCCAAATATCAATGCTCATCTGAGCTGCCTTTCAGTGTCACCCCCATCAGTGCCAGTCAGCGTCACCCATCAGTGCCAGTCAGTGCCACCTAACAGTGCCAGTCAGTGCTGCATATCAGTGTGCATCAGTGCCGCCTATCAGTGCCTGTCAGTGCTGCCAATCAGTGCCAGTCAGTGCCACCTATCAGTGCCAGTCAGTGCCATATATGAGTGCTGCCTTTCAGTGCCCATCAGCGATGCCTGTCAATGCCCATCAGTGCCACCTACCAGTGCCTCCTCATCAGTGCCTATCAGTGTCCATCAGTGCAGCATATCAGTGCCCATCACTGCAGCCTCATTAGCGCACATCAGTGAAGGAGAAAAAAATCACTTATTTACAAAATTTTATAACAAAAACTAAGAAAAAAATTTTTTTTTCAAAAGTTTCAGTGGATTTTGGTTTGTTTAAGAAAAAATAAAAAACCCAGAGGTGATTAAATACCACCAAAATAAAGCTCTATAAGTCTCAAAAAAAATGATAAAAATTTCATATGGGTACAGTGTTGCATGACTGCGTAATTGTCATTCAAAGTGTGACAGCACTGAAAGCTGGAAATTGGCCTGGGCAGGAAGGGGGTATAAGTGCCCGGTAGGCTAGTGGTTAAACAGTATAGGCACTTATTTTTAATATTTTGTTGTGCTATCTTCATAGGAGCTTCTTGTATGTTTCCCTGGATCTCCCCTCTCTTCACCCCACAGCCAGGTACAGCGTATTTTCTATAGCCAGGTGCACACACACTTTTGCTCGCTGTCGTCAATGACCAGTCTAGGGGACGTTGTTTTTGTGTTTTTATTGTAGAACTGGGGATAGGGATATGGAATTTAGTAGGATACTCCAGAATTAGAAATAATTACATTTGAGGACATCTGACTGATCTCTTAGCTGAGCACTGTTGAAGTCCTGGCTAGAAGCAGATTGCAGACTTCTCTTTGGGAATAGCAAAAAGTAGTTTAGGAGCGAGCAAAGTCCCTTTAGCATTAGTAGTAGTAGTAGTAGCAGGGCAGAAATTCTTAGCTACAAGACAGTCATGGCAGTCCAAAAGAAACAGAAACTGATCAAAGTCCTTTAAAGTAGCATCCATTGGACAAGCTCTTCAGAACACCAGCCAGTATTCCCTTTTTACCCATGCTGACTAATAAGCACCAGAGGGATAGCAAGCACACAGAGTCCTCAAGATCTCTCAGTGTCTGTACTCACAAGGCCCAAGGGCAGAATGGTTGCTTCCTTCCAATCTTCCAAGCGACACCCTCCAGTAATACCAGACCAGGGGTGGACTGACCATTCGAGCACTTGGGCACTGGCCGAGTGCCTGGGGTCAGTAGGAGGCCCCATGAGATGCCCTTGGTACCTTTCATTGGCTTTTTCATATGCTTTTTTGGGTTTGGGCAAGGACACATGATCCCCTATTGCCCGGGGGCCCCATGAATTGTGGGTCCGCCCCTGTACCAGACAGATTTTTGGCAGACAGCTCCCCTTAGCCAGCTTACTGATGAACCAGGGTCATTCCTTCTAACTTCAGGCCCTCAGGTCCCCCGTCCCCCCGAGTCCGCATGGCAGCATGTGCCTAGCAAGGCAAGCCTGCCTCCAGCTGGGCTTGGTGTAATCCTCTCCAAGAAAGACCCTGAGCCCATGTGCACACAGAACATAAATGCCAGCTCCCAGCATGCAATGGGGCCACCCTCCCCTGTAGTTGTCCAGGGCTGTATCCATATTCATGCCGTTCATTTGCCTAGCTTCTGCCTATGTTATGGAAGGCTCTCATAGCTTCCAGAAGGCAGGTGGAGCTCAAGACAAACTCAAACAGCACCAGAGCATCATGAGCAGTCCTGGCTAATCAATTGCAGCACTGTGTTAAGCAGAATACCACACTGAATTTACCTGACAGCCTCTCTGTTAAGTAGAGAAACACAGCTATACATCTCCTAACTATACATATCCTAGCACCTGACTAGGAGGGTACCACACTTTTGTATAGCTAGACCTGCAAAAGGGTCCAGCCTGGGATGATCTAGCAAAACTTACATTTTCTCATTAAAGTTCCACTTTGACTTCAGCATACTTTGTACAGGTCAAAGACCTGGTGGTGCCGTCTGGCAGGGATCTGGATCACAAGACTTGCTGAACAAAACTGCCGTTATAGTTGGTAAGATTGAATATTGAAATCGGTCCATCCAGATCAACCTGTGTGTGTCACTACCATTTTCCATATGCCTGTAAGTACATTGTGTTCACTGAGAAACCCATATAAAGGTTTTTTTTTTAAATTGAACTGAACTCGCTGCTGACACCACCAACTGTAGAAGAAAGTTCCACATCCTTACCGCTCTGACCCCTTATGCAGTTTAAGATTGAGCCACCTCTCGCCCAACTTCATTGTGTGGCGGCATGTCTTCTTTAGAGACCACAGATCAAAGGTTTGAAAAAGCTAAATTCACCATTTAAAGAATTATATATTGCTATCATATCCCCTCTTAAGTGTCTCTCCTCTAGGGAGAATAAAATGAATGCTTGTAGTCATTCCTCATAACTGAGGTCCTCCAGTCCCCTTTCTCTGGACTCTCTCCAGTTCCAGCACATCCTTCCTGAGGACTGGTGACCAAGGTGTGGCTGAACTAGAGTTTTGTAAAGTGGTGGAATTGTAGTTTTATCTCTTGAGTGGAAACCCTTTTGCATGCTAATATTGTGTTGGTCTTGTTTTCTGCAGCTTGGCATTGCATATCAATGGACACACAGAACTGGTTCAGGAGTGAGCACGCACAAGTGACCCACAGCAAGCAGCTTTGCTATGGGGGCAGTTGGCAGGGTCCAGGTGTGCTGGCGGGGGACCTGAAAAGAGGAGGATCGGGGCTGCTCAGTGCAAAACCAGTACACAGAGCAGGTAAGTATAACATGTTTGTTATTTTGTTTAAAAATTGAGCATTTAAAATCACTTTAATTAACCACTTAAGAGCTGCCCCATAGCAGATATACTGCTGCAGGGCGGCAGGGATGCACAAAATCACGTATATATACGTGATTCACATTTCCGGGTAGGGGGCGTGCGCTCACAACCCTGCCCGCACCGCCATTGACGGCTAGGGATGTCAATCACCGGGTCTCAGACGGTGATTCCCTGTCGGGGAAAGCTGACACAGTCCTCTCTCCTGCCAGCAAGGACATGCTGCTTTGTATTTCTCTGCACAGCAGAGAGAAGTACAAAGCAGCATGTTTCCCTAGTAAAACACACACACAGCACACAGTTAACCCCCAGATGTGTGCACATGCCTAAGTGACATATCGGCATGGATGTAACTCCACTTCCTCAAACTCATTCTTTCCAAAACTGAGCTCTTAGTATTCCCCCCAGCCCGTGCCCCCTCCCCTGACTTCTCCATCAAGATCAATAACACAATCATCAGTCCCTCCCCTCATGCCAGGGTACTAGGTGTAATCCTAGACTCCCATCTGTCCTTCCAGCCCCAAATCCAATCACTGTCCAAATCTTGTAGACTTCACCTCCACAACATCTCCATGATACGGCCGTTCCTAACCTCGGAAACCACTAAGCAACTTATTCACTCCCTTGTTATCTCTCACCTTGACTATTGTAACTCCCTCCTCATTGGCCTTCCCTTATCGCAGGCTATCCCCTCTTCAGTCTATCATGAATGCTGCTGCCAGACTCATCCATCTTACTAACCGTTCCATATCTGCCACCCCTTTCTGCCAATCCCTCCATTGGCTTCCCGTTGCCCAACGGATAAAATTCAGAACATTAACAACAACATATAAAGCCATTTATAACTCTGCCCTATCACCGATCTTGTCTCCAAATAGCACCCAAACCGTACTCTCCGCTCCTCGCAATACCTCCTACTTTCTAGCTTCCTTGTCTCCTCCTTCCATGCTCGTCTTCAGGACTTCTCCAGAGCTTCCTCCATTCTCTGGAACTCTCTACCCCAGTTTATCAGACTATTGCCTACTCTGCTCACTTTTAGGTGATCTCTGAAAACCTATCTCTTCAGGGAAGCCTATCCTGCCCTCAACTGATAATGGAATCTTCTACTCTTCCAACCAGTCTGTCCCCCACAGTTACTACCTTTTGTACCACTAGCCCCTCCCTTTTAGATTTTAAGCTCCAAGGAGCAGGACCCTCCTATCTCTCTTGTATTGAACTGTATTGTTGCTGTATTGTCTCATGTTCTACTGTAAAGCGCTGAGCAAACTGTAGGTGCTATATAAATCCTGAATAATAATAATAATAATAATAATGTTAACTCCTTCCTGCCCCGTGTCATTAGTACAGTGTCAGTGCTTTTTAGTAGCACTGATCATTGTATTAGTGTCACTGGGGATGTCAGTGGCAGTTAGTCAGTTCCCACCCAGTGTCAGAAGGCCCGCCACAGTCCCACTATAAGTCGCTGATCACTGACATTACTAGCATAAAAAAAAATTAAAAAAATTGAACTTTCAGTATATATACCACCATTTGTAGACACTATAACTTTCACGTAAACCAATCAATATACACTTATTGGGATTTTTTTAGCAACCCATGTACATTTTGGCCTAAATCTATGAAAATTTTTTATTTTTTTTAATTTCTTTGTTGGATACGTTTTATAGCAAAAAGTAACAAATATTGTTTTTTTTTTTTTTCAAAATTGTCTGAATTTTTTTGTTTATAGCACAAAAAATAAAAAAAACACAAGGGTGATCAAATATCACCAAAAGAAAGCTCTATTTGTGGGGGAAAAAAGGATGTAAATTTCATTTGGGTGCAGCGTTGCATTTATAACGCAAAGTAAAAACCATAGAGGTGATCAAATATTATTATTATTATACAGGACTTATATAGCGCCGACAGTTTGCTTAGCGCTTTACATTATGGATGTTCCACAGCACTACTGGCAAAATATACTGTGGACAGATGAAACCAAGATTGAGTTGTTTGGGAAGAACACACAACACTATGTGTGGAGAAAAAAAGGCACAGCACACCAACATCAAAACCTCATCCCCACTGTAAAACATGGCGGAGGGAGCATCATGGTTTGGGGCTGCTTTGCTGCCTCAGGGCCTGGACGGATTGTTGTCATTGATGGGAAAATGAATTCCAGAGTTTATCAAGACATTTTGCAGGAAAACGTACGACCATCTGTCCGCCAACTGAAGCTCCGCAGAGGAGGGGTGATGCAACAGGACAATGACCCAAAGCATACAAGTAATTCAACAAAACAATGGCTGCAACAGCACAGAATACGCCTTCTGGAGTGGCCCAGTCAGAGTCCTGACCTCAACCCGATTGAAATGCTGTGGCATGACCTTAAGAGAGCGATTCACACCAGACATCCCAAGAATATTGCTAC